TGCTTATGCCTCGGTCTAACACCTCGACCTCTTGCCTTCCTCTATTATTACATTTGCCGGCCGAGCAAGCCGGTAAAATGGGTGTCGTTAGCTCGAGTGCCGAAGCGTGGATTTCTCCGAGCATTCACCTCCTCTTATAAGGGATTTAAGAGTGGGTTCTTTAAGGTTCGTTGGGGTTCGGATTTGAGACATTGCTTCTTTGACCGGGAGGACAATCCGTTATTCCCCTTCTATTGGACGAGGCGGCCGACGCGCTTCGAGGCGATACCTTTTTCCAAGCTCCCCGCCGAGGATAAAGAAATTGTGGAGCTTCTTAATAATTTGCCGAAGGGCTTACCTGTCCGAGGCCTCTTGGACGTATTCGAAACGTCTCACTTCGAGATGGCCTTGCTAGGTATGTGTTTTAGGCTTCGGTAGTGTAGCAGTGTTTTGAATTGATGTTAAAACTTCTTTCGTTGCAGGATTGATGGCTGGAGGGGATCTCGACGTGACCGCCATGCTCGCCAAGCGAGCCAAAGATGCTAAGGCCAGTGGGAAGGTGGCACCGGCAAAGTCGGGATTGAGGATTCCGAGGGATAAGCCCTCGCCTGTAATAATTCCCTTGGCCGACCAGAGAAAGAGGACAGGGACCTCTCGGCCACGTCAGACCGACCAGAACGTGGAAACCGAGCAGCCGGGCACCTCCTCCAAACGCCAAAAACAAATAACGCTGGAGCAGTCCGGTTTTACGAAGTAGAGTGTGTTCATATCTTTCGAGAAGCCAACCAAGTAGCGGACAAATTTGCTAAATTAGGACTCTCTTTCATAGAGGGATTTCAATGTTTTAACACGCCTTCAAATTGGGCACATTTTTTGTTATTAGCAGATAAGTCTGCTGTTTGTTTCCCCCGTGACTTTTAGCCTCTGTTTGTTTCCGCGGAAAGACTATTGCTGCAGAAAGAAAAGAGGGGGTCACTTGTGTTTGTTTCGAAGGAAAAGCGAGGAAGGAAAAGCGAGGAAAAGCGGGAGAGACGTACGGAATGATCTTCGCTCATCAACGGAGAAAGGAGGGGAAATCTGGGGAAAGCCATGTCAGCTATGTGAAAAAGACCAACCTGCCCTCGGCTACGTGGAAGCATCTTTCTACTGTTGCTCTGCATGCATGCACAGAAAGGACATGCAATTTCTACTGCTGCTCTGCATGGAAGGACAGAAAGCACATGCAACACATGCAAACTCACGGGGGCACAGTTGAAGGTAGTAAAAGCTACCCATCTACCCCATTATGTACCTCAAGTTTAAAGCACTCAATATGTGCGTATAAGGACCTCCATGAAAGCTCTCCAAGGACGTCGCTCTACACAGGCTGAAGAAGGTCACAGAAGCTTTCCCCGTAGTTTCAACGTGCTGCCCTCCCAGGTATGGTGGCCGAAGGCAACGAGGAAGGAGAAGCAAACCATGGCAGAACGGTCCATGACATGGCTGCCGGAATGGTCGAAGGTCGCCGGAGGAAGCCATGGAAGCTGCAGGCTCACATAATCGATTATACATGGCTGCATAATTGATTATGCGACCCCATAATCGATTATGGGTGCCACATAATCAATTATGCAGCCAAGCATAATCGATTATGGAGCGGCTGCATGCA